AAAAGCTTTTTACTATACCAGAATGCATGTTTTAACTTGAGACTTATTGTTCTTAAAGGAAATTCAATATGCATATGAAGAGCTAAAGATTCCGGTGCCAACTCAGGTTTATCGTTTATGCTTTACAGATCTGCTCTGACGTCTCCTAGACGTGAATTGTTGAGGGGGTATTAAAAGACAGTACTCCTTCTAAAACCACATTCTAAAACCTGTAGCATTCAAGAATAAAATGATTGATGCTCTTTGTGAGGAACTTCTGGTTTTAGGGTAAACGGTTTTGTTATTCCAGCAGTAACAGGCAAAAAAAAAATCTTCAATTCAGTTCTCAAAAGCAGAGACAGTCTTTGTTCTGTGATGCTGTGAAGATATTTCCTACACAGGTAGCATAAGTGGCTTTATCAGGCAACAGACACTCAATCACCGCCTGCATTGCTTTTGTGAAGCGCAGATAGACATTTGAGTATTTTAGACGCAGAGCTTCATATGTGCATTTCAAGTGGATATGATTCCACTGTTTTAAAGTTTTTCAGACAATATCCCCAAGTCCCGTTATACATCTCGGCACTGATGTTTGTCTCGGTGACATTAAATGTGGTTCAGAGGATGGAACTTGAGGCTTTGTCTAATGGAATTAAAATTCAGAAAGATGGAATATGTCAAAACCATTCGGGCAACCCACGTACTGTATATGGATTGTCCCTTTGGGAAGAAGCATTTCAGGACGCTGTAATAACTCTGACGCGAGAAGTGTGGGGCGCTTATTTTTAAAGGGCACACATCTGTTTTCTGCATGTAAATGACAGGAGGTACCCGGTGCAAGTCTGGGGATGGGGTTTCGGTAATGGCAGAATTATCCCGAATCTCCCACAGTACTTCTGCAGCCCTTCGGCACCTTCAGTGATGACCGTCTGCCTCGGAACCCTTGAGATGCAAGAATGCCAGGCTACCCGATACCTGCAGCTTCATTTGTGCTTGCTGTCACATTGGAGTTTTTGTATAACGTGTTGTTTTCTCTCTTTCTGATGCAGAGGGCTGCTTTCTGTAGCACGCTGCTGTGCTGTGCATGTCTGCTTTGAGTGTGGTAGTTCCAGCGGGGGTTAAATGAGGCAGAAGGGAAGGACAGGCTGGGCACTGTGCCTTTACTTGCCATTTAGGGGGCGAGTTGCTGGACTGGCTGGAGTCCTGGGCGGTGGGCTTGCCGCACTCTGCCCCCCTGCTGTGAGCCAGACTGGCTAGCCTGCCTGTCGCCTGCCCCTCGCCGCCCGCCACCCCCACCGACAGCAGCACTGCGTTCTAATATTAATCAGGCGCCGTGGTCCGCAGGCCTGACTGACCAGTCTGGGGCCGAACCTCCAGAGGTGAAGCCGAGGGGACTGGATTGGCTGAGCTGCAGCCGATAACTAGATTGCGTTTGCCCAGACGGATATCCCGATGGAAACGGATCTCTCCGTCGCGAGCATTAAGGCGAATTAGCCAAGAAGTCGAGCTTTAACAATCCCGATGGCCTTGGGAATATGTCCTTTTTTGTTCACCTTTACTGTAAAAACGATACTCGGGTCTCGACTTGAAATGGAATCTTGCGTCGCAAAGAGAGAGACTATAAATAAACCCGTAAGGCTGTCTCAGTCCTGTATAGATAATAGGTCTACCCTCTCTCTTAATATAGTAATGGTACTGGGTTTAACTAGAGCGTTTCTAATCAAGTCTAACGGCTGTACGTACGTTTCTCAAATAAGATAATCGTTGGCATAGAACCCCAAGAAAGGAGTGTTTTTTTTTGGGGGGGGGGAGGTTTGCATGTGTGTATGTGCTGTATTATAGTGGAATCCCAAAATAACCGCTACTCTTAAAATTTTCAACTAAAAAGAAATGTAAGTATTTTTTAATTAAAAAATAGACTTCCACAAAGCGTATCGGGGAATCCCCCACCTTCCTTGACGCAGCCGTGCGACAGACTTCACAGCAGATAGAGGAACACACTCTGCCATCACCCTGCCCCCCTTTCTCCTCGTGACAACAGAAATAGGAACATCGGAGATATGCGCAGACCATTTAGGATCTCAGTGAGCTCAGAATTAGCCGATCCATATTTTACTAAAAACGAAGCACATGGAAATTTCCCATGTTGGAACGCAACGCCTGAGGGTACCTCCTGGTACATCTCGGGGTACCCCCACCCCCGGTTGAGAACTTGACTTTCAAATCAAGTCTATCGGCTGTCCATGCACACACCTCGGACTGATCCCTCAAATATGGCAGACCCTCACCGCTGTAGGCCAGAGGAATAAACGGAGGGGGGGAGGTCTCGCTACTGTACCTTCTCGGTGTATGACCTTGTTAAAGCTGGTTAAGGTAGAGCTGAGGTCAGACTTGAATATTCAGTGAATCGGAGCCAGGGCGTGGGCAGGGTGCCAGCAGTGAGAAGGCCGTGCTAATAGCTGTCAAACAAAACCCCAGAGGGCTTGCAGCCGCGCGGGAAAGCCCCACGGGCCCCAGGCGCCTGACTTCGCACTTTCCCGTCGAGCCACGCGACCCGCAGCTCGGAACTGTGGCAAACCCCCACCGACAAGTCTGTCCCTTCGTGAGGGGACCGTCAAGCCCCTCACCTCTGGGACGCAAGGGCCTGGTTTTGGGCGAAAGGCGACTTTCACCACCTGCGCTGCCAGATACTTGAGCGATTTGTTGCAGAAAAGCAGAAGAGTCTTGCGTTCCCCTGGGACGTATTTCATTTTGGCCAACATCCTTTAGTCTGGAGTACCCCTGAGCTCAAGGGGGCCGTTTTGGAGGTGTTCTCTGAGAAAGGGGCCAATGGCTGAAACCGACCAAGCGGCTGTCCTTAAAAGGAGAGCTCGGGTACGGTAGTGCAGTAGTCTGGGGTCTGCAAGAGAAAAATTCTCGTTAAAGTCGTGTCAGTTGAAAACCTCTTCCTGCATAGTGCAGTTTTCACTAGTGGGCTTTGGGGATTTTGCTTTAGCTAATGAATGTGCCTAAATGATATTATTTTGAGAGTAAATATTATATTCGGCGAGATCAGATCACCACCACAGCATCAGATTGGTTAAACCATTTGAATGTGGTGCAACAGATCTATCACTTGAGGTACGGGAGAAAGCTGCACTGCCAAGATCAGAGCTTAGGCTTTTTAAATGGCTTACTGTGCAACTCTTGTTCTTTTAACAATCAGGAGAGAGGCCCTTTTCCCCGATACATGGTTTTGTGGCTCTTTTTAGTTACAACCACTGCATTTGAATCCTCTACGTCTACTGACATAAAAGATCGCCGATTATCCAGACCCCTGTGCTCGGTCTCTGGCTGGAATTGTATCCCTGATGCCTTGCTTGTTACACTATGAGATGCTCACTAGGTAGTTCCACACATACAATGCTCCTGTTCCTGAAGAGGGCGATTTCCGGTCCCTTTTCTTAATTGAATGCCAGTTTTGGATACAGACCTTGCTTTGACATTGGAATCAGTCATCAGCATAGGAGACCCAGAGTCCCAAGTACTTATTTTAACTGGATTCATGATCTGCCAGGCATCTGGGCCCAGCGGACTTAATTAAACTGAACTGAATGTAATTAAACATTCGTGTTCTGAGTTGACCCAGCATTCAGACCAAACTTGCCTGCACAGTACCGCCCCCCCGAGAGGTTGTGGCCTTGTGAGATGACAGACTACCAGAGGAAATCCTGCCTTCTCCACCTGATGCCTCGAGGAGCCTCTGTGAATAGATTTTGGAACTGAATTTAGGCTTTAATTAAATGAAATCCACAAATGAGGCCATGAGAGACTTCAGAAAGATCTCAGGAGCAGGTTGAGTAACTTGGTTACTTTGATATACTGTTAATGACTTTTTTTTAGATATATCCTCTGTAATCTTTCTTTGTGTCTTACATTGTGCCTCATTCCTTTCTGGATTAATGAGTTCTCCAGGCATCTAACTCTGATGACATAATAAAAGTGATTGTAGTTCTATAGAAGCAGCATTTTGTTTTACCCATTTAGTGACTTTACATTTACAATTATATTGATGTCAATAGCTGGTAATGGGGGGAAAAAGGGGTGAATGCAGTTCTGTCCCCATGCTTTCCTTTTATGTTTTCCAAGCGTCATCGTTTTAAAAGCCTGTTCTTTGCCACAGAACTCCACATGACCCTGATTTGAGGGATAATCTTCCCTAAAAGTGCTGAAAGTCAATAGGTATTTGCACTAGGGCCAGTGTTCTGAAACTCGTCTATTTTCCAGATCGCATTCCAAAGGACAGGTCTGGAGGACACTAAAATCCTTATTCCGGTAAAAAAACAACAACCCACTTATAGTCTAGTCCGCTGTTATCCAATGTACTTATGTGCAGTAGCTAGCAGATGCTCTCAGGCTGCCTGTCACTGCAGTGACAGGGCCTGCTTGTGCTTGCTGTAATGGGAAACACTTGAAGGAGTTTTTATCTCAGAAATGTTTGCAATGGCAAGTCGGCGACTTAGTAAGCGTGCCTTTCGCCCAGTCACCGTGAAACACCCCCTCAGCAGCATTCGACCGAATGACTCATTACCGGTCACCGCCGCCTCTTCTGGAGATGGGACATGGCAGTACTGGAGCTGAATGGAGCGCTGGGAACGAAGGCTTTGAACGGGCTGCGAGAAAAAGGGCTTCTGTCAGGCGTTTTTCAGTCGCCCGTGACTTCAGCAGCCCCTCTGATCTTTCGGTGAACTTTCCAAGCAGTCGAGAACCCGGATTAAAAACCCTGCATCGGGGCCTCACTGCTTTGAGCCCTTGCTGAGACCCAGTGGGAGAAGAAGAGGGCTGTCTTGCAGATAAAAGGAGTTTTTTCATCATGGTGACCTAGTTGTTATTGCTGCTTAGGTAGATCGTCATCGATCCGCACTCTGGTGTACCGTCGTACATCCTCGGTGTGGTTTTTCTCTTCTGATCCGCGTGCTCTCCGCGCCTCCCGTCCGCGCGCCGCGTTAATTGTCGCTCTTTTCTTCCCCTGGCCTTTCCAGCCACTCGCACTCCCCTGGCTCCATGGCGGCCGCGGTGCGGGGCGGCGAGTGGTCCTGCGGGCGCTGCACCTTCCTGAACGCGGGCGGCGCCCCCCGCTGCTCCATCTGCGAGGCCCCCCGCCAGAAGCCCGACCTCAACCAGATCCTGCGGCTCAGCACCGAAGAGCAGCGCTGGTCCTGCCCCCGCTGCACCCTCAACAACCCGCAGGGCTCGGGCGCCTGCTCGGTCTGCGGGTTCGGGCCCTCCGCCGGCTCCCCCGCCGCCGCCGC